CTCTTCCACGAGATAGGTCCGCCAGCTAACATAAAGATATACCCTGAAGTGGATTTCTTGTCATCTTTGCACTTAGCAAAATCAGAATCAGAATAACCAACCACTTCTAAATTATCACTCCTTCTGTAAGTCAGTTTATAGTCTTTTGTCCCTTGTAGATATCGAAGAACTTTCTTAGCTGCTTTCCAGTGATCAAGACAAGGATTAGTCTGATAACGACCCAACATTCCAGCAATCTAAGCGATATCTCGACGAGTACAGACTTGTGCATACATAAGGCTTCCTACTACTAACGCATAAGGTATCATTCTCATCTGTTCCTTTTCAACCTCTGTTTTCGGACATTGAAATAAACCGAAAACATCTCCCTTAACTACTGGAGCCACAGAAGGAGAGCAATGTTGCATGTTATAGCGTGTAAGGACACGCTCAATGTAAGCTTTTTGAGATAATCCCAAAATACCATTGACTCCATCTCGGTGTATTTCGATGCCAATAACATAAGAAGCCTCTCCGAGATCTTTCATGTCAAAGTTACGCGAGAGTAAGCGCTTGGACTCATGCAACATGTCTAAACTATTACTTGCCAATAGAATGTCATCTACGTAAAGGACAAGTATAGTAATGTTGCTCCCACTCATCTTGAGGTAGGTGCATTGATCCACTTGATTCTTTATGAAACCTTCTGACTTCAAGACTTGATGCAACTTTAGGTACCATTGACGTGATGTCTGCTTCAACCCGTATATGGACTTCTTCAGCTTACAGACTAAGTGCTCTTGACCTTCAGACTTGAATCCTTCGGGTTGTTTCATGAACACTTCTTCATCTAAATCGCCATTAAGGAAAGCGGTTTTGACATCCATCTGATGTAGCTCTAAGTCAAAATGAGCTACAAGGGCCATAATGATCCTTAAGGAGTCCTTTCGAGAGACAGGAGAAAAGGTCTCTTGATAGTCAATTCCCTCTTTCTGAGTGTAGCCCTTTGCAACCAATCTCGCTTTGTAGCGTTCAATGTTTCCATTCGGGTCCAGTTTTGTTTTGAAGACCCATTTACATCCTACGGGTTTTACACCGTTGGGTAATTCAACCAAATCCCAAACATCATTTTTCTTCATGGAGTCAAGCTCTTCAATCATGGCTTTATTCCATTCAGAAGACTGATCACTGTTAATGGCTTCAT